GGAAGAGCATCATGGTCTTCTTAGGACATGCCTACTGCTGTAACAAAATGAATAAAGTAGCAACAATGATAATATTGCAACAGTTCTAATACCAATGCATTTCCACACCTCCTTATCTCCAGCCTATCAAAATTGGACTTGTCATGTTCTGGATTTTAAATGACATCTGCTTTTCTTTACTTTTTCTTTTCCCTAAAGCCTGGAACCAGCTTTAAGGATGAAATTTGTCCCTCTGCAAAAGCAGCCTATGTTAAAACACTAGGTAAGATCCCCTCAATATATTCCTCATCCCCACGCCTCTGGTGCTCTGGAGGAGCTGGCTCATTGTCCAGTTTTGTTAAATACAGGACAAATTGAAGGATTTGACCCACCCAAGCTCATACTGCAGAAGCTCAGAAGATCTGCTCTTTTAAGCACTTTTCCAGAAAAGGAAGAAGCTTATCTTCATGTGTAATAAATGAGGGAAACACTTGGTGAAGTTATCACCAAGAACGCGGTCTGTTTTAGCTCACTATGTAGGAACACGCACATGAGCCATGCTGGCGGTAACAATACAAAATGCTGGTCTTCCATGACTTTATAAACCCCACCCTGTCACAAATGCACGTGTGCACATGCACAAACACATGCAGAATTTGGTGTTACTGCTTCCCTTTCCCACCCACAAGAGCTCAGTTTAACCATGAATGTTTCAGGATGGGGTGAAATGACCGAGAAGGGTGAGCAGCTTCTCCAGGGAGGAGGAACATGGGGTCTGCCTGCAAACGGGGGTAAAATGACCAAATGAGGATACAATCTATAATTCTTCCTCCCTGAATGTTTCCTTTCTGACAGATGTTCAGCTGAATAAACTTCCCAAAGCGACTTGAGTTGTTGTTGTAAACAGTCTTTGCATTGCCAAAAGCTTCCATAATTGGGCTGTGAAAATACAGAAGAACAAGAGTGTTAACATGTGACCAGCATGCCAACAGTTTCACACAGGACTGGTGAAAGGAACAGCACTCTGAAAAGCTCATTTCTGACACCTTCCTCAGCCTACATCCTCAGTACTATCCTCAATTCATTACAATGGGCATCTCCATCTTCCATCAAAAGATGCAAATATTCAAGCAACAGGAAGATTAATCATACTAAACTACTCTGCAGCTTAATCTGTAACCGCTCAAAAGATGCATGCAATTTTCATTACAGTACTCAAATTACAGAAATACGAAATCTCAGCACATGCAAATTGCTAGACAGATGGGTGGAAAACAGTTTTTGTCCTAAGGCAATTAAAAAAATAATTACAACAAGATACAGCAGGTAAAACAGAGATGAAGCAAGATGAACAGAAGTATCTTAGTTTTTAAATAGTTTACAACCATGTGCTATTTCACTTGAACAGAGGGGATTTTTTTGCCTGTGTAGAGGTTGTCCAATCCATCTGATGCATTTAGTCATCTCTGACCAGTTTTCTTTATCCCCCCTTTGCTCAGGATGCTCTTACCTCTTGCATACTTTATCCTCACGGTACTGTTGTTCTACCTTATTCTGAGGCTATAAAAACCAAACCAAAGGCTTCTCCCTCCCATCACCCATTTCCCTCACTCTCATTATCTGAATTCAGCCCCAAACAAAAATGAAAGCCACCACTAAAGCACTGTCCACTTCAAAACCCTGAATCTTTTTGCTTCATTAAGATATACCACTGTGCTTGCAACTCCCTACAGCGGCCAGGTAATTTTGTTTAATGGATCATTTCCCCCTTTCCAAAAATTCACCTTGTTCAGCAAACACACCCACATCTTCAGTTACATTGCAAGCTCTTATTTCAATGACAACACTTATGTCTCCTGGAAAAAATACCCATGTCTTTAAAGACCTAGTACCTGCTCTCAAGAATAGCTTGCTCCACACAGGAGGTCTTCTCTCTGCAGGACAGCTCCAGCGAATGTTGGCTCATTGCAGACAAGAACTTGAGAATCAGCTTAGTGCTCTCTGTCTTACCAGCACCACTTTCGCCACTGAAAGAAGAGGAGGAAAGTGCACGGTTCCAGCTGCCAGGGGAAAAGCCCTCTGTCTGGCCAGCCCTCCAGACTCTAAGTTACTGGAGGTCAGGAAGACTGGGGCGATTAGAAATGATACTCGAACGGCAGCAGAACAGCCCTTTAAGCTTACTGAATATGACATTCCACACAAAATGCAAGGTATCTTTAGACTCTGTACCACTGTTCAGACAGCATTTCAAGGCATTGATTGCATACGGATGTACACAACACCCATGAGGCAATGAAAAGCTCTCTGAATACAACTATCTGACAGTTTTCACCAATACAGAAAAAAACAAGTTAGAAAAAAGGCACAGCAATGGTTAGAAGAAAGTGCAGAGTGTGAATTAAACTAGGAAAGTTTGGGATTATGTTGCAGCAATCTAGCTAAGGAGGGAGCCCTGCTGTGAGAAGGGTGAGGTTAGACATATCAGTGTGCATCGTAACACTTGAAGGCTACTTGTACAATTAATACTGATATTCTTAGTGAGCTACATCTTCTCTAAACAAACTTTTCATATGCCCATCCAAAAAAACCCAACAGATCCACGTCAGTTCAAAATAGAAAATTTTCACCTTTCATCACCGTTAGAGATGTAAGACTTCTCATCTCCACTCACAGCAGAACTATGCTATTTCATAATGCTAAATTGACATTTTAAAACCAAACTGTTAATAAGCAATCTTGCTGATACAAACAGAAGGCAATACACTTGATTTCTCTTCAAAACCAACAACTTAAAAAGGAAAGTTATAAATTCGGCATATTGCCACAATATAATTTCCTTTCAATTATGTAGCCTTATAATTAAAAACATATTGTGGGCCATTAAGAAATATAACTTGCAGTTAAAGTTTGTCTAGTTTGATCTTCATCTGAAGTCATAGCATTACATCCTAAACTGCAGCCTAATTCCTAGTTTTCCTAATTAAGCTGTGTCTAATTCCAGTTTAATACCTAATGAAAGCAGGTGCTTCTTGGTCTTATCCTCCCTCTTCCATTGTGGCAAGTGGGGGTTTTGTCACTGGCTTTGGTGGAGCACAACTGGGCATGTGAAGCAAGCTTAGTTTATTTGACAGTTTTCTGTTGTGCCACTGCTGAGTCGTGACCCTGGTGTTTTTAGGTCAGGGCAAAGTATAATGATGCTTTGTAGTGAAAAACAAAGAAGAAAGGTGCAGCCCAAGAAAGCAGCATGGCATTTCCTGCAAATGAATGCCAACCATTAAAAAAAAAATCATGGAAGAGGCATTCAGAAAACAAAATGAGACACAGCTTGTGTGTCCTTAAGCCCTTCCCAAGTAAAATCAGTCTCTCTAAAATGTTTTATAAAACTTCATGGAAGATACACTACCAGCTGATATGTTCTAGCAAGTATGATTCACCTGTCATAAACATACTACCTCAAGCAAATTCTGTAGTATTTTTAACTTAGTTTTACCCCTGACATCTGGCCTTTTCAGTAGCTGTTCCCCTTCTCTTTGCAGCCCTCACTCACTAATCTTCCTTTGCCAAACAAGCAAATACTTAATATTCCCTGCATTTAATACTCACTCCTTGTACAAAATGTTGCTACTACTAGTTTTGAAAAAGCTTCACAATCCCTTACATTGTCCTTGTCTAGTGCAAAGAATCATCAAGTGACATATACCTTTTCTTGCCTATTTTCTCACCCTCTGAGCACTGTACAGGTCAACAACAGGGATATGGATGCCAAGGAAGACACTGGCTCTTTCACTGACACCAGCCTTCCTCTGCCTTCACCCTCAGCCCCACGCTCTGAAGCATGTGTAGTTCTGCTGAAGCTGCCAGTTCCCCCACTGCAGTGGAGAGCAGTCCTACAAGTGAGGTATTCAGTGCTGATCGAAAAACACTTCCTATGCCTCTCTGTGGTACCACTGGTATTATGCACAGCTATATGCTCTGGATTTTTTCTTAGAAGAGGAGAGGTTCAGAACTAGGTCAGGCTGAAGCTCTACCTTCCCAGTGTCCTCTAACAGTTGCCAAATGGAGATTTCCAGGGAAGACGTGTGATACTCTCCTTCTGTGTCCTTCCAGCTTCTCATTATTTGCTCTTCAGTGCATTCCTGATCTAAACCTGGTTTCTATGTCTTGTAACCCTCAACAGATTTATCTTCCTTCTTCTATGAGTTTCTAGCCATATTCCCTTAAAAAACCATAAGAACATATCTTGTTGTTTCAGATCTGTCTCCTATTAGCTTCATTTGATGTCCCCTAGTTTGTGTATTGGAAAGAGAAATGAACAACTCATCCAAGCACTCCCTCTCCCCATTGTGCACGATGTCATGGATAGCCCCCCCCCAGTTCGAGTTGCCCATCTCCCTTAGCCATTCCCACACACAGAGCCATTACATACTTTCAACTGCTCCTTTTTGTTCTCTTAACCACCTCCAGTTCCACAAAGTTCTTCTGGATAGCAAGAAAGAGGGAAAAAGGCTTATGCAAAATACTCAAGACATGAACAAGAGATGGATTTACCTGATGTTCTCCATTCATCTACTAGTAACCAATCTGTTCTATTTGGTTTTACAATTACTACTGAGCACCAAATGCATAGGATCCTGGAGTCCTCTGGCAGGATTGTAAGATCTCCCTGCATGGTGTTGATCAGCCCAGGACCCATAACGTTATGTGCATCAAGTTGGTTCTGCATTTTTCCTTTACAAAATACTTTATAAAACATATTTTTAATGAGATGAAAATCAAGAACAAGTATGCTAAAATTTTAAAGTTGTTTACTCAACCTCACAGTACATACACTAATGGTAGGTTAAGTGGGATCAATCTTTCAGACTCTTCAGAAACCCTATGCCTACAAGAAGTTGCCAGGGTCAGCAAAAGGGTGATTTTTTTTTTGGTGCACAGCCAGCCTTTTCACCAACCTTTCCACCCTATAAGTTTAAGTGCCTGGATAATTCTACATCACTATATTCAGTACTGTGAATATATTCAGTGTGACAGAAACCCACAAGACCCCCACACTTAGGAGATCTCTAGACTTTCTCCATGACTTGTTCTTGGCAGGGGCATCTTGCTAAGGGCACAGTAGCCTGGACTCCAGACTTCTGCAGTGGAAAAAGACTTCACCAAAAATACTCCTCATTCTGAAGGACATAATGCAAGTGAGGCAGTATCAACACTGCTCTAAATCACTTCTCAGTTCTGTCTGTTGGCTTTAAAAGCCTAAAGACAGAAACACAGAAGAAATAGGCCCCTTCAGCAAATACGCTGTCAAACACAAGTTGGTTTTGGTGTGTCAGTCTCATAAGAACATCTTCCTATCACAACTGTGCATCTCACCCGAAGAGTCCTTTGGTTCACAGTGATTTTCAAGTTGGACAACAATAACAAAAATGTCAGGCCATCAGACAGTAACAGAAAGAAGAAACTGTTGTCAGACTGATTTCCCACTCACATCACTGACTTGAATGTCATTCAGGGTGACTGCTGCCTGTTTTAAATGTAAGTGCTCTCTGTGATAAAAGATTCAAAACCACATGAAACTAAGCATTTGTTGATGGAGATGTTTTTGTCTACATGAAATTTCTAGTTAAATAGCCAGATAAACAAATTTTAGCCTGGGAGAATGAAAATACCATTTTATGACTGTGTAACTATTTTAACGCACAGGTTGTGCAGAGCTTCTTCACTGTGCCATTCTGTTGACATTTTTGGTTGCTATGTCACTTTTATGTAGCATTTTCATTAATTAAAATAAGCCCATGCAACACAGAGTGATAAATACGCATCTTCGGATAACTCCATTTAATATTATCTCTTCTGTATTTCCTTCCTTTTCACCTCTGGTCTGGGTGCTTATGCTGGAGAATGGTCTTGCATTTATATTACATTTTGAGTTAATACTTATGACATTTTTTAATGCAGGTTCTTGCCCCAAACCTCTCATCTTACCACATGCATCTTCTCCCAAGTGTTTCAAAGCAGTAGGAGCTTTTTCACAGGTTTTTGAATCCAGTGCCTTTCAGAACGCAGACCAAAGCAAAGCTGAGCTAGTTGCGGATGCCAGCAGGGGGCACTTCAAGTCCAGAGGATCCTGAGAAAGTTCGGACTTTCCCCTCATGGGGCTGTTAAAACTTCCTACCAAGTTCTTAGATCCCAAAATTAGGAGCAGGTGAAACTGCCTATCAGAGTGCAAAGCCTACACAAACAATTCACTTACTTTAACTCGATGGAACCATTTGTGTTTTCATGATGCAACAAAATTTTCCTTTTTGTCATCTCCTACATTACCATGTTTTTCAAATGCCAGTACTAACCAAAAAAGCCTGATGGTGACTTGTTGCAATGTGTAATTCCAGGCCAGTAGAGGATGCAGGAATGACCAGGATGCCAAATTTGACGAGCACACTGTTGTACCTTCACTTCTGATGCCCCAAACTAGGTATATGATCACTGGGACTTTCCTAAACCTCATGAGGACCACTGAAAACCTTCAGTAATTTTGAAAATTCCTGCTCCGAGTCCCTCACAGATACAGCAGATAATCATATTTTAGGAAACTAGATCTATCTTTGTAATTTTTTATTTGAACTGCATGTTCTCTCAGTTTCTGTAGAAACAAGATACTCTCAGAAGGTTGCATTGCAGCACTTGTCTGAAACACTGAACTTCTACAAATCATTGTTTTAATTCAGGACCACAGACAACAATTTTAAAAGGGACTGATAATGCAAAACTTCTCCATCTTATGGCTTATCTGTACCAAGGCACATGCAGGGACTGCTGGAAACTCCTCTGGAACATCAGAGACTTCTGCTTAAGTCATTTTTAGGATACAGTCTGTTTTTCTCTTGGCAGTTTGTGGGGAACTAGAAGGAAAGGTAAAATACTTGGGCCAGTTCAGAACAGCACTGACAGAAATACCAACGGCCACCTGCTAGGCACCAGAAATTATCTCGGCCCCCAAAATTTGAGTAGATGGGCTGGTCACAAGTAGCTACTTGGCATTAAAACATGAATTCATGACTCAGGATAGCTGTTTTTGCATGACAAAGATCACGATGGGAGTGTCTCCTGGATTCAGCTTTATATGTACAGCACTATGTATTAAACAATAAAAATAAGAAATTGAAGAAAGCTGAAAAAACACATTCAGCCCCCACCTTTGTGCTGCTGTCTGGCAGAACCTGCGTAGTGGTGAGTGCAGGCGAGGACTGAGACCCGAGAGCTTGCAGAGAGCTGGAACAAGACCTAGCTGTGTTGTACCTGATCCACATTTCTAACAACAGCTTGGGTGCTGAACTACATGTGCCAAATCCTCCTCTTATCCAGAAGCTTTACAAACTGACCTGTAATCTTAAATGCCAGTAGAAACTGCCCGCTGCAAAAGGTGCTGGTCTCACTCCGCCTCATGCCCTGTCTGCCCCACTGGCTGCCCTGTGTCATGGTCCACAAGGGCTCCCATGGAGGTTGTGAGACAGTGGAAAAGGTGTCACCTTGTGTCTAAAGAGCTCTCCACACTTCACTTGTGCTGCAGGAAGGTGAGAGCTAACAGGCTTAATCACAAGAACACTGTGAAGGTGGGAGAGGAGAGGGAGGGGAAACCCAAGCTCTGTCACTGTCCTGCTCTGCCTCCAACATCACCCCTACCCAAAAAACAGTGGCTGGTGCCACGCTGACATTGCCACCAAGCTGCTCCTCCTGATCCACTGGGAAAGGCTTCGGCCTCCCTGCCCCCGTGCCAGCCAACGCAGCTGACCTGGCAGGTGGGGAAAGGGAAGAGAGCTGGCAGCGTTTTCCCATCTGCAGGACCAAGAAGGAAGGAGGAGCTGAAAGAAGCAAAACACTACTGAAATGCCAACTGCTCTCAACGTACATTCGGCAGCAGCGAGATCCTGAATATCAGCGACACCGTGGATCCAACGGGAAGCTATTAAATCACCATTAAAGCACAACGAGATTAGGCAAGGAAGATTAACCAGGCAGAATTAAGTGGTTGAAATGTGAGGGCTTTCTCTTCTGCTGCTCTAATTTACCACGTTTCTCCAGACTGGTGGGTTATTTTCTCTTTTCCTCTCAATACAGGGTTCACGGTCCAGTGGCGACAAACTACCGAATAGCAGAGGGACGTTTAAACTGGTGGGGAAAGCACTTCGGGTAATGTTAGATGGGTGAGTAGCAAAAATAATGCATGAAAGAAGAATATATTTTTTCACTAAATGAAATCATAACAGGCATAAGAAAAATAAACACATTCTTAGATGTCCACAAAACAATACAGAGCGAGTTCAGAACTCTCCCACCAAACTCTGATGATTTAAAAGCCTGCTTTCTTTTGGAGTTCTCCTCCCCACGTGGCCCAAACCACTGCTCCTAAATGACTTGGGGAGGCCGACCAGCAGGGATAATGGAAGCAGCAGCAGCAGCAGCCATTTACCTGATGAGGATGCACTGGTTGTCACGGCGCTTCCAGAGGCAGCGGTAGCACTCGTTGGCCACGGCGAAGATGTGAGGAGCGATCTCTCCCAGGTGGTGCTTGCTGTACCGCTCCACGGCGGCGCAGTCGTACAGGCCCGGGATGCTCTTGTAGGGGTTCACAGAGGCAACTATTGAACCAATGTAAGTCTGCAAGCACACAGCCCCAACCCCCCCAAGATGTTATTACACATAGGATGGAACAGATCAACACTATTCCCAAATGAAAGACAACAAATACACGTTTGCAAAAACCTAGTAATCCCTTGAATAAAGGTGGAGAGTATTTTTCCCTGCTTTCTTCCTTTCAACAAAAGCAACCAAAGGGCAGAAGTTACTTCCATTCTGTCATATTTTCATGCTTAGTCCACCTACAGCACAGAGTTTCTTGGCTGTGCAAATCCCTGACTTAAGACTGCTTAGAGCTGCACAGTAACGCCTGTGAGTGCTGGCCGACAGCTGCTTCTCAAACCTTCTTAGGGACTTGCTCAACTTACTACAAACCTGACTCTGTCCCAAGTATTGGTGCAAAAGTCCCTATTACCATGTGCAATGCCCAAGTCTTTCTTTGCTACAATTTTTAAAAGAGAAGTATCAGACATTATGGTGGACACTTGCACCATTATATGGTAGCAGGCCCTAAGAAAAGCATGCGAGCTCACAGATGGTCCCAAAACACTGAATTTCTCCAATGTAATTTATTACTAGTTTGATGCACAACGGCAGCTGACAAGGCATTCATTTCTATCTCACTGCAATTAGAGAGCACATCAGTTAAAACCACCCAGGTAGCAGCTTATGCCCATTCTCGCTGCCTTAACTCATCAGGCTGTGGTAACGTGATCATTTGCAACAGTCTCTCTGCAGTGCTGTTCATTATCCCAGCCACCCTCTATCCACTTCAATATATTTTTCAAATAAAATCAAATTAAGGGAGGTAGGAGACAGCGTTAAAGACGTTATCTGCAGAATTTCCAGTACATTTCTGGGGCATGTGAAGTTAATTGATCTCTCATACGGTGCGTGCGGTGTTACCACTGTGACACTAATTCAGTTTTGCCAAGCACCTTTTCTGTGGTTAGGAGCAGGAAGCTGACACCTGGCTTCAGCAGCCCACCTGCGGCCCTGCAAAGAGCCAGGCTCTAAAGCTTCCAGTCCTCTAACACGATCCCCATGCACAGATGCTTCACCAGCAATCACCCCTCTCGTGCTGACAGGAGCCAGCTGTGAAGCTGACAACAGGATTTGGGCTCTTTTCACCCCACAGCACCCTACCCAGAGAGGGCTGGATGAGGCAAACACCATCTGGCACACTGCAGAAGCACAGCCCCACGTGCTCCTCCTGCAGCCGCCCTCTTCTCCAGCAAGCCATCATGGGGACACTCACCGAGACCCAGGGACAATCAGCTCCCCAGCGTGTTCCTTTCTTTCTGTCAGTCTCTTACACAGCACTTGCATTCCACACTTACCTGCCTCCCTGCTCTTCTCCCTAGTTAACCCGTGATTACCTCTGCATATCAGCTCCCCTTTCCCACTGTTACCCTGCAGCTCCTTCTCTGTTACCCACCTGTTTGTCCTCCATCAGGCCCAACACAAGCAGCAGCTTTGAGCTTTTGCTGAAGGGAACTACAGCAGTGTCTTGAAATTATGACAATTTTATTAGCTGCGAGTGGAATATTCCTCCTCACTGTAACTCAAGTACCTTTTACGGAGCTGTGAACTTTCAAGCTGTGTGTTTTAGAAACCCCCCCATGCTGTGCAGTAGCTCAGTAGGTTTCATCTAGAGGAAAGATACTGTTTCAACACAAGATCGTATTGCAGGGCAATTACAGCACTGAGACAACAGCCTAATTTCCTGGGATCATCCCCTCTTGGGTTCTTAAATAACTAGTGAGGAAGTGTCCAAGAACAAGCTTCCTCCATTTGATACACATTTCAGCCCAGACTGCACAGGCAACATTTTAAGAGGTTTTTCTGTTTTGTTTTGGTTTTTAATTACATTAATACACTGCAATCACAACCAAAAAAACAGACTTCCACAGATCTTCCTCTTTACCTTATTGAAGTCTGACTAAAGTATACCAAAATGTAAGAAGAGTAACTTGTAGCACGTCATCACAACAGATGCCATGGCAAAGAAGCATATAAAATCCCCACAAAACATAGTACCATGTAACTTTATAACTCTAAGCATCCACACCATAGCTTTTGCATGATCAAGTACCTGACAGAACACCACCACACTTCTCGATCTTCCTGTGATAAAGCACTGACAAAGCTGCACGACCACTGGCTACAGCACAACTCTTCTTGCTGCTCAGATTTTAAACGGTAAATATGATTCAGAGGCAAGGGCAGCCTGCTTCTGTGCAGACTTGCTTAACAGGTGACAATGTTTCACAAGGATTAAGCATAACTTTTTAAAAAAATCATATAAACACTTCCAGAATATCAGTCATTACTGTGAATAAGAAAAGGTTTTTATTAAGTAAAGTCATCTGGCTTCATTGCCTCGTAATTCATGTCAGGTATCATAGAGAAAAAGGTAATGTATGATGACAGTAACAGAAACATGGGAAACAGCAGAAACAATACTGGCAAAACCAATTCACCTCATGGAGTAGTTCTTAGGACATCTCACTATTTTAAGAACTCCTTCTCTTATTCTTTCAGCAAGAACCACAGCCTCTACTGAAACAGCTTTGATTTTGTGATTCCAGTCTTCTACTGCTTTAGGTATGTTGTTACCTCTTTGCAGAACAAGTTACATCTGTCCACAAATTGCCACCAAACTATAATAATACAGGACAGGACAAACTCAGGCTCTCAAAGAACTTCCTCAGCCCAAGTCAAGATCACAAAAAAAGCTATGTTCTTCACAGATGCGTCAGATCAGATTTATCAGGTGTCATAATCCCAACACAAGAGCAGCCACAACTAGGTATCTGCATGGGTTAAAATTAAGTTCTACCTTAACCCAAAGTAGTTCAGTGGGGTATCGATAAGTTGAAGCAGCACCATTATTTAAGAAAGTTCCCATTACAAGACAAATGTTCCCAAAGTCTTTGTAAATGTCTCCTGGGATGCTCAGCAGCAGCAGGATTTGCTGCAAGAATCATCTCCTACATCACTTTCAGGCTTACTACTTTTCCCAGACATCAACTATCACTCACTCTTACTAGTAGCAGTATTTTTATGAATAGACCAGACTCCTGATAGCCCCTACCATGGAGCCTCCAAGAGCCAGAAAGTCAAGGACTCGAGGTACGACATGACCTGCACCCACATGCATAAGAGCAGCACTTCACCACTTCACTTTGCAGGGCTCTGCTGTCCCTGCCCTTGGGGACTCCAAGCAGTTGCCCGGTGCAACCACTTTCTCGGAGGGCGGACTTTCCAGCTGCAAGTGCAAGCACCTTAGCAGCGAGTTAAACCAGGAGGAAGGTACACCAAAAATGCAGAGACATTCAGTGAGTAGATGGGTGCTGTCTCCTGAACCCTATTTCTGCACCACCATATGGCAAATTAAAGCAGTTAACAGTCAGAAGGAGGATCTCCAAATGACTTTATTATGCCAAGATCAGAAGGTAGCCATTTAGATGAAATTTAAGAAAAGGTATTTTCACATAAGAATGACACTTCACGTTGCTTAAAAGAGACTCAATTAAATTTTCTCTTTGTTCTTTGCCGTTTCTAATCTGATTATCACAGTCAATAATTACTTATTTTAAAGAAAGCATGGCAAAGCAGCTATGAATAGGAAAAATGTTCATACATCTGTCAAAGCACTAGCAAACAGACAGGATTTCTGAAGACTGCCAGCTGAAAGAGTTTGAGAGGTATTTCAGAGAAATACTGTATAACCCTCCTATAACAAGCCAAACTTCTTAAGTCCACAGCAATGAGCAAGAGTTTACTTTTCTCTGTTATATGACCAACTCAACACATAGAAGAGAAGGTAGAGAAGAGACAGGGTAGAGAAGGCAGGAACAGGCTGGAGGACTCTTTTAAAGGGCATTATGTGCTGCTCCTGAACTAAGTCTCTGATCAATAATCACAATACAAACTAAAACCACTTGCACTATTAAAACAGGCAAAAGGAAGCTGCAGTCCTCAATTTCTATCATTGTGTTTCTTCAATGACACCAAAAATCAGTATGATGTTCTCACAACCTGTTACTACAAATGTTGGAACCGATCACATACAGAATGAAGATGCTTTGGTGCAGAAATACACATCAACCTTGAGAAAAAGCATGTTGTCCAACTCTCTTAAGAGTACTTTCAAGACCTTCAGGTTTGGGACAAGAAAAATCTGTCTCATTACCGAAACAAAAGCATGTTTACAGACACCTTCAAAAATCACAGCTACAGTAACATTACTGAATTACAGCATCAGTGCTTTCACAGAACCTGCAGAGGCAGAAAACAGCTGAAGTGCCACAGAACAGCCATCAAACTTTGTTACATTTTCAACACCAAATTTCAAGGTGTCAGGACCCAAAACCTGGGAAGAGAAGAGTTTGCCCCACACTGCAGATACAGCCTCTGTCGTTCCCAGGTCTCTCAGGTAAAGAGAGTGACTGTAATCACAACTGAGTTTATTCTGAGGCAGAGACAACTAGGTCAACCACCATATACATGCCAACATAAAAAGGAGAAACATGGCTGGGCCATATTTTGGTGTGCTTTTTAGGGGAGGCGACAGAAGGGGCAAGGATATGCCATAAACTGGATGATAATTAATGCCCTTGTTCTTGGTAGGACCTTGATTTATCCTTCTGTGGTAAGTATACCCCATCTTTCAGTCAGTCCCATGCTAATTTCTCTAAATTATAAACTAAAAAGTCTGAAGCCAAGCTCCTTTCTTAAAAACCATAATCAAAGTGAAGTAGTAAACTAGAAGTTTAGATTCTTTCAACCCATCAAGCCATTTCTAAGATGGAAATGTCATACTCTATAATCATCCTTACAGGCTTGGATTTCTGCAGCCCTCAACATGTTTGGTGACTCATGGTGGGTTTCCAACCACCCAAATTTACATCAACTTTGCTTTTCTTAATCTGTGATATGCACAACGTTATGACCCCTAAATTGTCCTTTTTTCTTCTCAAGGTCAGCTGTAGAACCAACTGCAAAATAAACTGTTT